TTAATTTGCCCATGAAATTATGCAGCGTCCTTGTTTTTTGTGTTTAGCACTAAAGAGTGACATTTAGTTGCAATATGCTCTTTTTGAATAAAAAGCCTATTTGCACATTCTGTGGTATGTGTGGATTACTACGTCTGAAAATGCATTGCATAGATAGGCTACATCATAAATTAGCAATGTGCATCCTACCTGGAAAAAAGCTAACAAGCTTTACAAAATGCACTACGTCTGTGACAAACTAATTACACTTGTGTTTATGAACGTGAATACTTGTGTTAGGAGAAATATAATATAACAGTCTATCCTGGCTTGAGAACATGTAAAGTATACCTATTATTATAGAATCACATGAGAAAATACATTGCAAACGGTTGAACAGAAGTGAGCTCAGAAGGAGAGCATAATTCAACTCTCATAAATGACGTTACCAGAAACTAGTGGCCATTAGAGGAATTGCATCTTCAGGCTTCTGCCATGCAGCCTCATGTATTTTTTTTACAATTGTCTAAGACACTAATTTAATGATTTGAGAGGCGGGCCTTGGGTTGTGGCTGTTGCAGATTCCTTCTTAGAGATACATGATTCTAAGTAAGTAGTTTTCACTCGTTTAAATGTTGGTATCAACTTTACCACAGGTATCAGTTCATGGTTTATGTTAAGCTAAAGTTCAGTTTTCATTTGTTAGTTGCCTAGCAACATAGACAAAAGCAAAGTGCATCAAGTCTGATGGGGGCGTTTTCAAAGGTCTGCTCTTTTCAATCTCCACTTTTCGCTGTTTCTGATCAGAGCCTTAGAAAGACCATCGTAGTAGCTTTGTGAACTGCAAAAATGTATGCATCTCATTTTGTGTTGTATAAGTCTTTCATTATTCGTCTTTCATTTGGGAAGAAAATACGTTACGAAAATCTTTATATAAAGTATTTGTATCCTGACAGTTTCTGTAATTATCCCACATGACTGACAAACACATAAAAACATAAGCAGCAGGGTCCAGCTCTTTCTCACTGCGTCTCTGACTTTGAAAACTTATTTTCATGTCTTGCTGTTAAGCCATCTGCCATCCAGCCTGTGAGGCATCTAAGGTTAGGCATCTACTATCTCAACCCCATCTCTTTTTGTGAGTTTTTCCTCTTCCTTTTCCTATCCCTACCTCTCTGCTCTAGATTACTCTAAATAATACATCAAGGACACACAACACTTGTAAACATCAAACCACCCTACCTGCCCCACACATTCTTTACCTAAGGCTGAACGTTAGTGCCCCCTATGGCCGGTACAGAAAAACACCAGCAAGCTCTGTGCACGTCTTTCACCTCCTCTTTCTGTTCTTTTACTCATGAGTGCCTGTCAGAGTGTTCTTGCAGAAGACAGAAGCTCTGAGCTTCAGCCAGAAAGTCATTGCATGAATACCACATCAGCCATATAGGGGAAAAGTCCCTTTTTAAGCTGCACTAAATCACTTCCTGTCATCTTAAAACCCTGGCATTACTTGAGTTATGTCAAACACTTCATTTTCTCTACAAATAAAGATCATCCTTATATTCTTTCTCAAAGAATATCAGATATTTTATTGTATTAACATGCGTTTGCTAAATCACATTTGTTTGAGTGTGTCTCTCAGAAAACTTGCAAAAATTTCTGCACACAAAATGAAATTGTAGACTGCTAGATGCCTGATACAGTACAACCTGTTCTGTAATAAGAACTGGAGCACTGCTTCCTGCAAAAACCAACAGATTGGGAATAAAACGCTGAGAAAGACTGGAGCGAAACATTTTGAATGTTTTCTGTGTCCTTCACAACTAAAAAGGAAATGGTTATATTCTGGCTTATTAAATGATTAGCTCCCACAAACATATAAAATGACGACAAATTCAAAGATATTGGAAACATTTTTCAGCATTATTTAAACTTATGTGTGTAACCATGGAGGCTGCATGCAACTTTAATGCAATCGCATTCAATATAAACAACGGAAGCATTGACCATTATATTGAATTCCCTGCTACACCTTTGCTAGTTCCAAATACAAGTTATAGGTATAAAGGGATTTATTTTATTCATAGGTTATTCAAAGTCCTCAGAGACCTCGGGGGTTCACAGTACTCTGAGGGCAAACACTAAAGTGCCAAGGAGAGTTTGTTTAGATATCATTCATGCATTCCCACTAGAGGTATAAAGTATGTTTCCAGACACAATATTTTTAGAGATACCTATAAGCTTCCACCCAGATTCCCTTGGGTCCACCAAAAAACACAGACAATGTAAACAGACAAATACAAATACAAAGGAAATGTGAAATGACTACAATAAAGTAATTGGTCCTATTTACTGATAATGAGTTGTCTGTCTTTGCCCTTTGTCCAAGGCCAGTTCTACAAATGCATGTAAAAATGTCACATGTATACCCTCCACAAACAGTATAGATTCATATAAATACATTATTCATATCTACAGTAGGTGGGGTGACAATATAAGAGAATCTCCAGGGAAAAGTTGAGATGAGATTTGAGCTCAGGTCAACAGGGGACTTCAGAATAAGTGTATTTAATGAGTCCTCTGTGGTTCCTTTGGAGCCTTTAGACAGCCCCAATAAATAAACAACACCTTAGCCGCACATAACCAATTCCCACTGGCATCTCCGCTATTTATTTTGTCATCTCTATCTTGGGATTGTTCACTGAGTATATGTGCTCTTTCCCGGACAGTTCCGCATGCTGTAGTCTTCTGTGTTTTACTAATAAGTTCAAATCTGTGCTTGGCAGTGTTGCCCATTCAGCTCCATGCCGCTCGAACCACACACAGCTCAGAAGAGTTAAGTGAGTATTTGCTGCTCTTCATTTAATATGCCTTTTAAACAAATCAAAAGTGTTTAATATTGATCAAATTTCAATGGATGTCTCTTTCTAATTCAGTATTGTCGAACAAGACGATTTATCTGGTGTGTTAACAGGAGACACACACACTAAGTGTTTGTGTCCACGTCGAGTGGTTCAATAATCTGAGGCCAATTAACTGTAATTAAGTATACTTACATTACACCTGTTGACACGTGTCCTGAGGAACTGAATGTGTTTGAACACATTCACACTGAACTTCTCTGCTATAATGGGTTTGATAAATACAATTTCATACTAAACGCCATGGATTTTTTTAAATGCTTTTTGTTTGTTGCATTTTCAGTAATATCAATTTGAAGTTCAATTTGAAGCTTTTTCACCATCCTAAAAAACTGAACACTGCAAAAGAACACTGTGTTGCAGAACATTAGTCTCAGTTTGAACCAGATGAGCTGAAGGACTCAAATGACTTAATCTGATGCAAGAAAGTGATTGTTTGGACTTGGTAGGTGATTGGATGAACCATCTGTCAATCTTATCTTGTCTTAACGAAGCCAGTTGGAAAAAGAAGAAAAACCCTTTAAATAGAGAGCCGAAGTCCCTCCCTTTCCAGTGGAACTCCATTGGACCTTATTTCGGAACAATAGCTAACAAGGTACACTCCTGTGTTTTGTTTTAGCAACTCGTTTTCTCGTTAAGAACTGCGTGATCCCTGTGTATGCTGTGGATAACATTTGTGTTGGCAAGGACAAGGTACACAGAAAACTAGTTGCTAAAACAAAACACGGGAGTGTACCTTGTTAGCTAATGTTAGCTAGCTGACATTAACGTTACACATTACACTCGTTTAACACTCACCGAAACATTGTACAGCCGGTCCCGCATGCTGGCTCTTATGGAACGAACTAACTCCCCTTTTGTGTAATAGCAGCTCTCAACATGCCCAGCCGTGTAATGATTTTCACCTCCTTTAATACTTTTCACCTCATTCTGGTGTTGGTGATGTGTATTGTGCAAGACCAGAGATGTAGTTCATTGAGCGGTTTCACACACAAATAAGTGTTACTTCACAGTTTTACGACAAACTGACTTTTTTGACGTGGAAAGGATTTTTTAAGATTGACAAACATCATAGCCTGTGTAATTCATGGCACAATTCAAACGGGATCGAAAGATAACTTTTCTCTCGCCATTGACTTCAATACATAATTTTTCCGAAATAAGGTCCCATGGAGTTCCACCGGAAAGGGAGGGACTTCGGCTCTCTGTAGAGATGCAAACTACAACTTTAAGCCTGGACAAGACCAGACATACTTTCAACTGATATGTGATCCTGCGCTTCATGCCTGATCTTGCGATAACGAAAGAAAACAGCTGCAAAAAATCTGTCCCTTAGATTAATATATTTTAGATTGAAAGTCCTTTCTTTATTTATCTGATCTTAAAAACCCAGCATTTTTGTACCACATCATTGCATTAAAGTACAGTCATACTATGTCATGCAAATATACATTCTGTCAGACATTTTCAAGCATGTTTCTCATGTTTGTGTCGCCAGCAAAAGATCTGAAGTTTTTTAATCAAGCAGTAGCCTACATCACAGGATCAGACTGCAAACCCTAACCCCCTCCCCATTGAAAGCATAACATCGCCTTTTTCTTTGGATATTAAGATAATGTTAACATATGGGATTACAGTAACATGTCGTACTACTCCTCTAATCATGAGTAGGCCTACATGGCTTCCTCTTTAGATGTTTAACAGCAGGTTATGCTCGTCCAGAAACACATTTCAAACGCACACGAGCACACATTTTAAAATGCCTGTCGGTGGTGTAAAAGAATTTCGGGAGCGATGCACGTTTATAGAAAGAGCAAATCCAAATGCTCATACAAGAAGATGGGTTACAAGTGCGGAGATTGAGAAGCGAGAGACAGAGAAGGGTAGTTGTTGAGCAAGCCCTCATCGATCTGTCGAGAGAGAGACAGAGAGAGAGAGGTGGAGAAAGAGAGAGAGAGAGAGAGAGAGGAATGGAAGAAAGCGCAGCGCCAGGCTGCATCTTCATCCCAGCCGACCCCTCCTCTTCTCACCTCCTCCCCCCCCCCCCCCCCTCTCTCTCTCTCCCCCCTCTGTTTCTCTGTCTGCCTGCCAGCTGATGCTGACTGGAGCTAAAGGTTTTTTCTCCCCCCTCGTCATCTTGGGGAAAACCTGGACGGACTGACGGAGATTTTGGAATTTTGACACCGGCTACTACTTGGTGTTGATAGCAGGAAGAAACCAGGAAGAAACTACGAATTTAAAGAAAGCAAACCAACATCGAGAGAGGACGCGGACAGAAAGCAAGACGCAGGACGAAGCACAACAACTTCCAGCGGTTGTGTCCCCGGGGTGGTCTGCGGGAAGCTCTAGAGCTGTTGCTACCAGAAAGGTAGGAAATAGCACATGCTGCTACAACACTGCAATGTGTACGTATATGTGCATACTGTATGTAGACATACTTGTCTGTCCTGGACCACCAGTGTTGGCGCTGCGTGTGAAAACGCGACTCTGTCCGCCTGCAGTCCGTCACTGTGTTTATGTTGGGCTGCTTCAGCTGAAAGGTTGCCATAACACACTGTATAGATACTGATGGCGCGTGGCGCAGCGCGTGCATGACGTGCTTGTATTTCAAAGTGCTGTATCTGCGCATTCATGGTGCATTTAAGTGTGTTTGTACTTGCTTCATGTTGTGGTACGTGTGAGTGACATGTTGCATGGCCAAAACATGTGGAAGAAGTTCGGTGCTAAGTGGGCTTAGTTCAAACACCTGAACTGATCAGTGACTACTGATTAGTGTGTGCGTGTGTGCGTGCACGTGTGGTGCATTTTGGGATCTTATATGTTGTGTCAGGCTTGAAGAGGAGGCTTTGGTTAAGCACTTTTTTGTAACACTTTCAAATGTGTGTCTCCTCTACTGTAAGTGTCTGAGTAGGGAATTATCGTGTTACTACTGACTTTGCAGCAGCTTTGTATTAATGTGTTTTATAACAAAACTGCAGAAAAAAAACTTGAGAACATAAGTAGCCTAGCCTACAACAAATGCAATTTATTTGAGCAGATTTTCAATTACACTTGCCTATGTCTAGGTTTTCATCAGTTTTGACATTATTTCACAGTAGCCTATACATGCACTCACTTTGTATGTTCAGAACTGACATAATTGAGAAGGTGGAGTCTTACGGAATGATTCATGTCCAGGTCAAACCCAGTGGAGTTTTGGTTTCAGGTGAACTTTGAATGTGAGAAACGGAAGTTCTTCTAAAGCCTACTCATGACTCTGTATCAGGGCTTTATTTAAGTAAAACGTATTCCAAGTCCAATACCAGGATCAGTCGAGTCCAGACCAAGTCCAAAGGCAACCAAGACCAAGTCAGCACTGAATCCAGAGCAAATTGATTCAACTAACTAGGTTGAAATGAACTGAGCAGCTAAGAGAGAGCAGCAAAGATACAAGTTGTTTACTGTATCTGGTGTTAGCCACCTTGACAAAAAGTTATCCCGCTGCTACATGTGCAGACGCCAGAAAAACAGAATAATGACAAATTAAAACAGAGATTAGCAATGCTACAGAAGCCAGTAAACCCATAAAATCCTAAATCAACTGTACAATAATTTAAGCAAAAGATGCCTATCTGACAGGCTAGCTAGAAGACGTTAGCTATCTATCTAACTAGCTAGCTATCAGCATATGATGGCTTTCCTAATTTAAAATATAAATATGATTTAATACGGTCAAACTAAAAATGCAGACCTGTGTCTACTCTTCTACCAATAAGTAGAAATATTATAAAAACATTTTCAACATGCTTTTTGTTCTCTGACTGGTCACACTCACAAAGCCAGCAGCTCTTCACAGCTCTGAAATTCCCAAATATGTGTTATTTTGGATAAAACAATCACATATTGGGATTCTAAACAGTTGCTTTTCTTGCCTGAAAAAGTATAAAAACACGTAACAGTTTGTTGAAAAGTTGTATATATATAAGGCCAACAATGCTGTGCAAACAAATAGCACTTCCACTCTGGACGGAAGTTTGTACATGACATAATTGCCACAGTACAAACAGAAGCAGTGACATTTGTTATCAGTGAAGTCAAACAATTTGCTGCAACATAGACAAAAGAAGAGACAAAGAGTGGCTCTTTTTATGTAACCATGAAGAAGCTGGAAGGTTGAAAATAAGCAGATACTATATCTTCCTCCATAGTTTACCTGAACTGTATGGGCTTATTAACAGCTGTTTGTATAATGTGCTTCCTCTGAGGGGCTGGTTTGTGCGCCTGCATGTATTCAACTCTAATAATTGTTCTTTTTGATGTATGGTGTATACAATATGTACTTATACGTTTATACTTGTAACAAGGATTCCATATGGCCCGTCTCTGTGAATTTTCACAAGATAATGAATGCATTGGGAACACCCTCATTATGGATAGTCTTCCATACTGAGCCTTATATTTGGCTATATTCAGATCATTGGTTTAAAAAAATGCAGCCTCTTAATTCACTTGAATCAATAAATCTATCAACTATTGCCAATAACTCAAAGAATCATAAAGATCAGTTTTCTCCGAAACATTTAGCAATTTCTTTTCTTTTATGGTTTCCCAGACAGAAAATATGTGTTCTATGGTGTGAGAAATTATATAATTTTGACATAATCGACCTCCAGACCATACCAAAACCTGAAAACACACACACATTGACATCATCAACAACATTTTAGAAAATGTTCTGTGTCACTGCAGCCTTTCCGTATTGCCCAAAAACTGGCATTGGTTTTAAATATTGATTTTGACGCATTTTCAGTGTCAACGTCATCAATTACTTGATTTAACTAATTAGGGCCAGTCATTGTATCTTCCTCAAAATGTGCTGTGTGTGGCTCTTCAAATATGTGTTAAAGGATCATAGTCAATTGTTTAACTGAATAGGCTTGGTTGTCAATGGTGTGTTACTGTCTGAATTATCGGACCCAGACCCTTCCCCCCTGCTGTAGGGCTTTATCACTCCCTTTATTTTAATGCTCATGTATCATGTATCAACAATTCCCAAAACCACACTGAAATATAATTACTCTGTAATGTCTACTCTTGTAGAAGTTGTAATTTATCACTAATATATACGGCTACTTCTCATAGTAGGCTACGCTTTCCTTCTGTGTCACATGACTCCAGACTGAATAACAAGACCACAGACCTAAAATAGCCACAGTTTGAGTTCAGCCGGTGACACTTGTTGCAGGTCATCCCATTTTCCATCACAAAATGAAAACACCACAAGGCACACATGCATCAGAGGGACTGATTCATTGATAACACAAATGCCATCTGAGGTTGTAAAAAGTGATGAAATACCCCAGTGAATCAGAGTTATTTCTGCTTCATACTGTTGCATCCTCATGCATGAAATCACATTTCCGTTGTGTAAAAACCAGTTGCCATGACCTTACTTTATTTTCATGTGCTATGCATGCTGTATCCGTAATAAAAACATCAGTCTCATTAGTGATGTTTTGTCCTCTCACACGTAGTAGTTACTGGTACAGAGGCCCACCCAGAGCGCCGCTGCAGCCGTACATGGACACACACTTCATGTTCTAAATTTAACTGCTTATTCATCAAACCCTTAGGCAGCCAAATCACACACACTGCTGCTTCATCAGAGATTTAACTCATATACACTGAGTCTTAAATGTAGACAATTGATTAAAGACTGGAAGTAGGAGTGGAAACAAGATCTCAACAGAGAGTAATGGAGAGAAGAAAGGGTTACATTGATGAGCTAGGAACATTTTATGTTAGTGCACATACAGTGTAACCCACATATTCCCTGCTGTAACCACTGGGATATTCAGAAGCACAGCAGAGTTACTTTGCTGTTTTGATTTGATGAATATTCATGATCAGGCAGAGAGAGGGAGGGAGCCTTGTTCATGTCAGCATTTTGACGTGTTGCTGCTGCGGCTTGCATGAAGAGGTGTTGCTGAGAAAGAGAGTATTGCCTTTGTAGCCAAAGGCTGATGCTAGATTATGTCTGAGCCCAGTCTCCGTGCAAATAAAACCAATATCAGCTACTTGTATGCTCAAACTTATTCTTCAGAGTCCATCCAAAGCTCATAATCGTAAATGAAGTTGAGTCAGTAGACTGAAGGGTACATCGAGAGATTCACCTTCCGGCTTAGCATCCTCTTCACCAAGGCAAAGTACAGCCTTTGTGTTTCATCTGACACCACGCCAATCCACTTGTTAATCTTACATATACTCGAGAACAAGAACTCAAAATGCTTTTACTCCTTTATATGGGGGATTAACACACTGTCAACCCATGCAGTGAAAACTGACTTGCATACTAATGTTCCAGACCTTGGAAATGCGGTCAACATCATAGATTTGTTTAGCAATTCAAATAGGTCTCGTTTTTTGTCCATCAGAGTCTGAAATTAATGAGGTTTCTCATCACTGTTGCAGCTCAATGAACATGTGTTCCCGTCCACTGTCTGCCTTTTCTGAAATCTATGTTAAACACTTTAAAATGGTGAACAATGGGTCAGTGGTACCAGACAATATGGAATATATCATGTAAACTCAATTCCAGACTATTTAACCTACCTTTTTCTAAGCCAACATTAACCCTAACCGTAATAGTACCCCCTGCTTCCCATTGATGGACTTTTACTTGGTCAGAGAAGCACTCTGACAAGTGTAATGAGTTGGAATATCTTATTAAATCATATTTACAGTATGTGTATATGCATCAGAGGCGGCAGGAACAATTTACTTTTAGCCAAAAAGATGTTAAGTCTTCTTAATTGCCGGACAATAAAAGGTAAGGGACAGCTTTGCGTTTTTTAGACGTTAGTTATTCGCACATGATAAAAGGTAAACCTAATAAGATTGACACAAATAGGAAACATTTACAATAACACAGCAAACTCCTTTAAATGCAGAAACTCTTTTTATTGGTGGTTAAAAATGTTAATCTTTTTCTCGGCTTTAAAATGATTGTTGATTGAAAGTAAAAGGCCACTGCATTTGCTCTCTTTTTCTTCTCACTGCATTAACTCACATAAATATTCATGTATTCTCTCTCCCTCTTATTCTTCCCCTCAGCCCCACACATCTTGGCATTAATATATTCCTCACGTGGTAGTGCATTAATAGTACATTTTATGTCAAATCCTTCCCTCTTTTTTTCCTATAGCACTAGTTTTTTTTCAGTTTCCTTCATCCCTCAAACCTTTTCTACCTTCCCTTCCTCAACATCTACTCGCCCTTTCTTTTTGCTTTGCCCATATTGCATTCCTTTTCAAGCTTCTTCATTCTTACTTTATTGTCCTTTGAACCTCCCCTCTCTGGGCTTTTCTTCATCTTCTATTTATGTCCTGTTCATATTTTTTCCTCTCCCTCTCTTCTTTTCTTTGTCTTTATCTCACTTTTTCTCCGCCTAAAGCAATCTTTGTTTAAATTTGAAAAAGCAGGAAGCACTGTGACATTGTAATATTGTTTGGTGCAGGGTCGTGAAGCTTGAATTGTGCGTACAGAAAGGGACTCTCACGTCAAAATCAGGATAAGAACCATGTGTCCTACAGATATTGTTAGGTTTCTCTTGACCATGGAAATTATCTGACCTCCACCAATTAGAATTAACCTTATTTTTCAAGAAAAACCGTGTTGTTGTGGTAACTCGTAGGGCTTCTGCATTTTACAAAGTGGCCTTAAAATGTAGTTTTACCTTGATCAAAATATGTTGCTATACAACCAGAAAATTTTGTTATTATTGGCTCGACAAATGCTGCTTTGGTGTTTTAATTATGTGTTCAGCATTGCTCATTAGTTCCCTTTATTCTATATCATCAAAGAGACTAGTACCAATAACCTGGTGTATATTGCCCACCAGTGATGATAGTGTTCAGGACAATAATCTTTACTTGAAATAAACACTATTAAATGTTTCACTTAGTACTAAGAGTATTCATTTTGCATGCATATTAAATAAAGTTCAAAAAGTATAAATACAAGTTTCCCAAGTTCTTATGAATTCCCGTCCTTAAGACGTTTTCCTTCGAGGTCAAGGAAAAAAGGTTTGGCAAAGTAAACAAAGATTATTCTTATGACTATGACCCTGTTCAAAACTGTGCAAGGTGGGAAGTTGAACCACTTGAGATTACCCAAAACAACATTTGATGGCATGTTAAGTGGTTCTTTGAATTAAACTTACCTTCAAATGTTTGTTCAAATAAGTTACAGTGAGTATGGCATTATCGTTCACAGTAGCTTGATCATGACATTATGTGTGACACTTCTTCTTTCCGTCAGGTGAAGTAAAGCCCCTCGCTCTGGAGATGGAGTACCCGGACGACTACGCCCTGTTGTCCCAGCTGGTTCAGTTGCAATTCAACGACTCGATCAACTTCAACGGTACCTACAACGAGACCGACACACTACTGCCAACCGGGTTCAGAGTCACCATCGTGGTGGTCTACATGATTGTCTGTGTCATCGGCCTTGTGGGAAACTTCCTGGTCATGTATGTCATCATCAGGTAAGAAAAACTCATGTTTCTTCAGGTAAATAATACACTAAATGAAACCTTTTCTAAAATAAATAATTATTGTATTAGACTTAGACCAAGGCAGACTTCAAAACTGACACTAGCTTCTAGAGAACTCTTGAAACAAGTTGACTTTATATTGTTACACAGAAGACTTATTACAATAGATTTTGCAATAAGCCTTGACTACAATTATATTCTGCTCTTGTAAAGTATTTATGTTTGATCCTTATGGTCTCAACAACCAAGTCTCTACGGCAGGGATGGGCAAATGGCGGCCCGGGGGCATGCTGTGATGTTAAGTTACCGCTTGTAATTATGCCGTTACAAGCTTAAAAGTTGTATTCATCATCTGAATTTGGCAAAACAAGTTTAATATTCTAAAAACCAAGACTTTGTTTATTTTAAATCAGATGAAAACAAACTGTCACGGACCCTGCCGTGTTATCTATGATTACTATATTTTCATTCATAATTTCAGCGGGAGGGAGGGGGAGCGGCGCTGATGAACAGCAGAGTGCGGGTTGACAGGTGTCTGTGTTGACATTCCCCTTATTGTGGAATAAGGGGAATGCAGAGACAGGCTACAAGTGTCTTAGGTTCAAGTTAGACAACTAATGTCTGGGTTAGTGTTCATGACTTCATGTTTATTTCATCTTAATGTTTAATCTTAATGCACACACATTTTCCGTGCTTTCCAATAGTTTAAAATAGTTTTATTCAGAAACACTTTTTGTTATATTCCATAGAATGCTCTTAACATCCCGATTGCAATGAATATATTCAATGCTTTGACAATAAATATCTGTGGAAGCCGTAGCGCTGTAAAAAGCACGACCAATCATTTTAGCCGGCCCGGCTAAAATAACTGGATGGCCTACCTGCCTGTCAGCCTTCCATCTGTGCACAAACTTATCTCGTGCCCTCATTGGTCATGTGCGCGTTCGTGTGTGTTGGAGGAGGGGCTCTATAAGGAAGTCTGAAGGAAGAGGCAGATTTTTTCCAGTTGTGTACTTTCAAATTCTAGTGCACTCGAGCTGGTTTCTCCATTCTTACCTCCCCTACCTTTAAATAACCTGTTCAATACAAACATGCCACTTGTCAAAATTAAATAACATTTCTGTGAACTGATATTTGTTTAGTGAGCTTATTAGAGGATGTTCCTTGAAAGATTGAAAAATGTCAATGAAGATGTCAGACTTAGTATATTTGTTAATAATTACATACAATACATGGAATTTGTGTGTGTGTGTGTGTTCCAAGTGAATCTGCGGCCCCCTGGTGGCCAGTACATAAATGATGTGGCCCCCACCACCATCCAAGTTGCCCATCCCTGCTCTACGGTGTAGCGACTTCATATTTTCAGAGTCAGGAATGATCATATGAGCGCTGTTGCTATAGCAATCCACACAGAAAGGACAACGTTCCCAAAATAAAAGTCTGTCAGATTGATTCAGTTGTTTTAAGATGTTGTGAGAATGTTATTAAAGTAACAGCTGGGTGTTGAAGCAGCTGCTCTGCCTCACTTCATCAGTCTGAGGTTCAGTCACTGTCACTGTGGCTACTTCTGAATTATTACTCCTCACCGTAGATGTGTTTAAGGGATCAAAGCAAAACACATTGATTCAGACTGTCAATTTTTTTTTTTATATTGTCCAGTTCAAAGCATTACCTTCAAAAAGTTTGTGACAAATCAAGGTGATATTTCAGGGCACAACAGAAACCATCAGCAACTATCTACCTTTGTTTACATACATTTTTGTTCTATCTTTGCTCTGTGTGGTGTGTTTGCATGTGTAGGTGAGCACTTGGGTGTTGTGAGAGTTAGTGAATGCGTGTGTGCAGTCATCGTTGGCTCAGTGGGCAGCTGCTGTCTGTTTTTTTTTTTCATATGGTCAGTTGACCACATTTATATGCCGCTTTTCCATATAGAAGTCACCTTCCACACACATTCATACTGCCATACGATACGTAACACACACACATATCCACCCAAACGTTGGCCATGCCGTTGGGATCACCTTGCCCAAGAACACATCGGCATGTTGACTGGGGAACGTAATCACCTTGCAATTGGTCCAATCTACATCCAGAGTAACAGCAGCCCCACCTACTGTATGTATTTGTGTTTCCATGTTATTGTTGGTGTACCTTTGCTCTTAATTTAGGCCGTATATTTTGTTTAGACAGACAGCTAGCAGTGTTAAACATGACTGATAGCTCTCTCCTTGCTTGTGGTTTACAATCTGGAGAATAGTGGCGGTCTAATGGAAATGTTGTCAAATTTCTCTATAAAAAGTTGATGGACGGATGTGCACATGTACGCACACACACCAAACACACTCACTGATGATTCACCGCCATAGGCAACTCATTTTCCTGCTTAACACTATCAGCTCTCAGCCATTGCCTCTCAGTACAGATGACTGCTCTCGACAACTCCACAACATTTACGGTGTCAGAAGGCACCATGCTCCATTATTTAACTGTGACATGTTGGATGAAAGGGCTGATTACACAAGATGGCCAACCTCGACACTTGCCATTACCAAATGATGCAGACCAAAGAAAAGGTCACAGCCATACTTAGCCTTTAATCCCCAGCAAATATCAGTGAATTCCTGTTATTGTATCTGATACCTTTGCTAACACAGCTCCGAACATTTTTAAGGTGAACAGCAAGTAAGTAGAAACCTGACAAGCAGTAAGTAGAAAAGCCAAAGAGAACAAGGACACGTCTAGCTTTCTGAATAGCCACATTGAAATTGATATAGGGAGATTAATGGTTCAGGCAAAAACTACATCTCAAATATTCGCAAATGCTTGTCATAAAAATAATTGAGGTGTGTGAGACATGCATCAGTGGCGTCCTGTCGTCACTAGAGCGCTATTGAATCAACTGTGAGTAGATTAAGAAAATCTTGGCGGTCAAGTTTATGTATGGGAAACACTGAAGTAGCTGTCAAGGAGCTTTGAAGCATTAAAGAATAATATCAGACTTAGTGAAGCTCAGGGCAAGATCTGAATGCTCTGAGTACAAACGTCACAAAAACCTAAAGAACGGGACTCAATGTGGATCTGCAATACTCAGTTTTAAGGTGATGGATTGTGGGTTATAATCTGAGATGGATTTGCATTTTATCCAGGAGGGATTTAGCAGGTTCAAACTCATAACAGTGGGATACCTGTACAACTCTCCTATTCATGGCGAGAGACTGCATGGAGAGAAAATGTTTTAATGTAAATAGAGTCTGTTTTCATCTAGATGCAGTACCCTTTAGAAATAATCACAGCTCTGAAAAGGCTGAGTCATTTTATTAAAGCAGATGGGTAGAGGTGACATTTTACCTACACAAAAGCATGCCCACACACAGACACACTCATATTTTACTACTAATGTGTTCAAATAACAAGGGTTTTTCTTATAAAAATACCAAAGAAAAACTGTAAAATCTCCCACAGTTACTGCCTCCAAGAATATAGCTGTATTATCTTTTTACATCATTGAACTGTGACATTAATTTTGTTGGCATCATTGGTTATTAGAAAAATTCAATAAAATCTGGGGGTGGGGATTTAAAAAGGATTTGGCTTTCTGGACCTTACTTCACTACTTGCGAAAAGCATCTACATTTCGGACCTTAAGGTCGCCGATTATGTTGCATTGTGGGTAAAGTAGCCCAAACGTTTTGACAAGGATCACAAATGAGTTGTTTAAAAAAGGATTACAGTTATATTTACAGATAAACACAGTGTGTGTCTTTCCATTGTGATTTTTATGTGAAAGCTTAGCTCAGAAATCTCTGTCGTTTTAGTAAAAGTTCATTTGTAAATCTGAAGGATGTATTACAACATGCTTTTCTACACTTTTTACACAGGAAGTATTGGAAATGTAACATCTCAAATGTAACATCTCAATCATTTTGTTTTGTTTCTTAAACTGTGCTAATTTTAACAGTCGCAGTAGAGACTGTTTAGTGACTCTAAAAGCAAGATGGAAACATGTGACATTCAACCCACAAAAAGAAAAGCTTACACTGAAATAATTAATTATTGTAAAATTGGTGTAGCTTGTGCTGCTCACATGCCTTGGTTTGAGGGTGGGATAAAAGGACCCCGGGAGGTCATCATTGTTAGGGAGCAACAAAAAGAGAAACAGACAGATTGACATACAAGACACACAGGAACTCTGGGATTCGTCCAGTCGGTGTCTCACTTCGTTGTTTGATCCTAAACAGAGATGGATCAATATGCTAACAGGAGTTTTATTGACAGGACACCTCCCTGTTTCAAATAAAGAAAATAGATAAAATCTGAAATAGACTATTAACTATTCATGTAAAACTTTGTGCTTCAAATATTTTAAGACGTAGCGTTATGCATGAAGGGCACTTTGACAGGTTGGATCCATCACAGGTAGCTGTCTGCTCTGCTGGTAGATTTGGAAAAGCTTTCAGTGCCAAAAAATGTATAGGTGATGTCATGGAGAACATCCATATTTCAAACAGTTTATAGATGGACAATCAATGATATCACTGAGCCCACCACACTATAACTGGGGGCAACTTACCATTGGGGGTTATTAGGCACTGGAAATAATTTGCATTGATCAGAATGGTCAATAACGTATTTAAATAACTTGTAGGATTATAAGGTTAGTCACATGTTGGTTTCTTACTGGAACACAGCACCAGCAGTAAACCTCTGCTTGACTACCAGGACAAAAATATCATTTATCTGATTGAGACAGTCTAAGCCTCGTATTATCTTTGGCTGAACTTTTGAATGCATTCTGAAGAAGATTGAACTTATTGTCATTACGTAGTACAGGTACTATGTAACGACACAGTTTCTCTGCATTTGACCCATCCTAGTGTTAGGAGCAGTGGGCTGCCATTATGTACGGCACCCTGGGAGCAGTTTAGGGAACGGTGCCTTGCTCAGGGACACCTCGGTAGCACTTGGTCTTTCCGGGACTTGAACTGGTGACC